GGGATTTCTTGTTTGATAAATTGGCTTTTATTCACCCTGAATCATACCCCAGGGTAGACATGGTAACTTTCTGTAATAAAAACATACAAGAACAGAGCTCTGTCAGCAGAACCACCAGCAGATTTACTTTCTGCCTTTTGTTTTTCATTTAAGTGATGGGAAGTTCAGAGGATCACCCAGTAGCATATGACGTTTCATAATGGTTCATAAATTATGCAGTCAGACCTTTTGGATTACAAAATGCTGGAAGCAACAAGTGCATCTTGCATTATAAATAGAATGGCTTATTTACAAAGATGACATAGCTATATTAATTGTGATTAAAGGGACAGGCCTGCACTGTTTAAGACGTTATTTAGAAGAAACTGATTTTTGAGAAAAAACAAATGTATCTTTTTAGTTTGCTGTGGGTTTACTGAAGTGCTCTGCAGATTTACTGAAGTACGTCTTCCTTTTCCATCAATTGTAAGTGGTTTTTTCTTCATACATTAGCCTAATGTCAAGGCAATAAAAGAATCCTGTATCAAGGTTCACATTCAAAATTAAAAATGGTGATCACCTCCATGAGTAGAAAATTCATCTTGTTCCCTGCTGCATGACACTGGTCAAGTGCCAGCTGGAGTGTGCTATCATCCCTGAGTGTTGAACAGTAATTGGACTAACTAATTGAAGCCGTGACCCCTGAAATAGAGATGCTGTTATTACATCAGCAATCATCTATGCACAGCCCTTGAACGTGCGCTGCTGATGCTGCGGCTCGTCCTCCTTTCTCCCTTGCGAGGCTCCCGTGCAGAAGCAGCTCCAGCGTGGCTCCCGGAAGGCCCCTTTTGCCCTCCATGGGTGCTTTGTCCTGCTTATGGCTCCTCATGTTCCTCCCCTGTGCCCACTGTGGAGGGAGCCGCAATCCCGAGGCTTTCCAGGGAGATGTCAGTTTGATTTAGCACCGAAGTGCCCAGGGACTTGTCATGCCTGAGCAGGGATTTTAAGGTTGAGCTGACCGTTGCTCTTAGGAGCATCTCTGCGTGACTGCTCCTTTCCAAGTGCACACTGAGGAGAAGAGAAATAGGGTCGTGAGCATGGTGGTGGGCAAGATTTGGGATCATGGAGGTCATAATAGGAGGGTGCAAGGGCAGGTGGTGAGTTGGCTTGGGGTGGGTTGAGGTGAAGGAGGATAGAGAGCACAGGTAGGAGACCAGGGTTCTGGGAGAAGAGAGCATGAAACAGAAGGATAGGAAAAATGGGGAATTACAAATGAGGCATCCTTTCAGCCTTTTGAATGATCAGTTGCCTCTCTTGGAGCCTGCTGCTTTTTGTGCAGGGCTTGCATGTTCATTTTTTATTGCAGGTGGGTGATTTTGGTGCTCCTGAACTGCATTGCACACTAATTTTCCTTATTTTTCTGCTATGACACTTTTGGGTTACATGAAGAATAATGAACTTTAATGGTGCTCTTGATTTTATAGACCAGCTTGTGGCTTAAGCAAAGTACCTACGCCCTGAGGTCTTATTTGCCGTTCTGTTTCTCCTACAAAGTGATTTGAACTTCTCACACTCTTACAGTGGCTTGTTAGGCTGCCCTGGATAAGGCTCAGCTGACTGAGGAGGGATATCCAGCAGTGCTGGGATTTGGGAGTATGTTCTGCAAGGATAGCAAGGAAGGCTGTGATTCATATCTTAAACAGGGCAGGGTTTTACAAAGATGCTGAAGTCTCAGGAAATCTTAAATGTTAGTGACCCTTAAAGAATTAAAGAGAGTTCAGATTTTAGCAGGCATTTCACTAATTTCATTTTACTTCCAAGGCTAGATGCTAATCGAAGCACATCCTTCCTTTTCTTGTTGCAGCGGTATGTGGATAGTTCAATTAACATCATCAACAACAAGGAAGCATGAACAGCCAAGGGCACGAAATTCTGTGCATGTGTGGCTTTCACAGAAACAGGGCGGAAACTCTTAAAGGGATGAAAATTACTTTCCCTTTGTATGAGACAAGCAAGCCCTCAGCATGTTTGCACTTGTGGCCCTTCTGCTTTAGTCCTAATATGGCTTTTTACTAAGAGCTGGCCTAAGATAACCTGCTCCTGCAGTGTTTACAGACTGCTTATAAAATGTGCATGCAGGCAGTCTGATTCTGCCACAAACTGTGAAGCCTTTGCCTCCCTCTACCCCCGACAGAGATAGGAACAACTTGCTGATTTAGTGAACCCAAACGCAGGTGGTGCTGTATGAGAAGCCCATTCTCCATCCTACTGAAGACAAATATTGAAAAAATTCTATATCTTTAATATTATTACACATTATATGTCACTTTTCCTTCACTGTGTGTATGTAACAAACTGGAATGAGAGTGATGTCTCTGTTCAAGAATGAGCACAAGCCATTTCTGAGTCAACATACATCAGCAGTATGTCAGTGAAATGCTATATAGCAGTTTTAGAGGCGAAGAAGTCCATCAAATCTAGATTAGGAATCACCTCACCAGCACCATGAATTTACAAGGAGCTGTAAGATATGAAGGTGAGGGAAGAGGGAAGCAAGGAAAACAAAAGAGGAAACTGAGAAAAAGGTGAGAAGAAATAGAGAATGATGGGAAGAGCTGAGGGATTCTTCCTCCAGCCTTTTTCAGGCATGTCTGAAGTTCAGTTGTGGCTCTCATGATTTCTTGTCATCACAAATATGTAATTTTCCCTTGGCTTCTGATATTTCAGGCTTTTCATCAGGGACGAGATGAATCATTGTATGTTTCAGAACTTATAACACAGAATTCTAGAAACTCAGTCCATTCAAATGAATTACAGTGGTTCAGTTTACACCCCAAGGAGCATTGCTAATTTTTTAGTCTTCTGATTAATTTGACATCATTTTTATGTGAATGACAATACCAAGTAACTTAGGTAAAATAGGAACCCATATAAACTGCTTGTGTTTTATCCAGGTTGAGCATTGTCATTTTCTGATGACCTCATGTTGGTCCAACAGTAGAAAGATGGTAAATACAGCAACCAAAATATATTCTGTATCATGCAAAACCAGTGCATGTTTTACTGGTGATGGTGGCCTTATGTACTCATTAACTTTATCAGAAGGTGTTATTGTTCATTGTACTTTACACAACATCTCTTAAAGGTGCCATGATACAGGAAGTCTACAACTTAGACTAAATACTAAGCTATTTTGATTACTGAAATAGTCAGTTCCAGCAGTAATTGTGTAGTCTTTACCTTAAGGATTTAAAGCCATACAATAGCATCCAATAAAGTCGTTTCTAGTCATGCAGTGTTGATTATGATGACAGCTGCTGATATTACTAAATTTTTACTATATAAGTAACATGACAATGTACTGTTTTATTTGACAAGCTTGTTGTATAGCTTTTACTAGTAGGTGCTGATGACTCCTCCTTCCGTCTTTGTAACCATGAGAAAAAGTCCGGTAGTCAAAGTAAAATTTCATTCTTTTCCCCAGAGACTCATTGAAGGGTTTGTAAAGAAGTAGAATCCATTGTAGTTCTGTTATTTTTTTATCTTATTTGATATACTCTTTCCTGCAGGATAATGCCTTTCTATTATAACTAAAAGATTAGCTTTCCCATTTATGTAACTTTTGTGGTTCTTTCCAAAGACTTACTTTGTGGCTCTGGCTGAAAACTTTTGACTGGTTTTATCAGGTTCTAAAGGGACCAAAGCAAAAGATGTCCTGTCTATAACATGAGATTAGTCCTGCCATTATAAAAACACTGTATCACAACTCTGAGTAGCTGCTCTTAAGTGCATCACTTTGAAAAAGGAAAGAAACTAAAGATCATAAGAAAAAAAGAATTTATCAAGCCCTATTTCATTGAAGACAGGCATTGAGTCATTTTTGGTAGGGTGGAGCTTAACTAGATGAGATTATATAAGAAGGTCTATTATGTGAAGGGTCCGAGTCTGATATCATTAAGGACAACCGGAAAATGGCAATTTTCAGGGACGTTTCAGCATTGTTGTTCTTGAATATTATACCAGACGTTTCATACTTAAATTGGAAAAGACTGATGGACTTAGCTCTCAGCTAAATAAACTCTTGAAATACTCAGCACACCTCTTGTGTGCACCAGGAGCAACCTTGGTGAAAACCAGAGCAGTTCCTGGCTTCTCTAGATTGTAATGGCCCCTTCAAAACACCTGCAGTGCATTCTGTGCACCGGGGGATCCTCAGCACAGCAGCCAGCCTCACTGTATGTGCCTTGCACATATCCTTGCCTCCTTCTCAGCCAAAGCACAGGAAGAGGTGGCACAGCACTGGCTTCGCTGCTTTGTGCCTGGATCATATACATCTTCAAAAAGAAGTGACTCCCGCTGATTTTAGTAGGACTAAGATTTGGGTCAAGTCTACTGTGGATATCTGTGGAGAAAAGACGGGCCTGGGGTTTTGTTTATTTAGCCTCTATGATCTTACCATGCAAAGTTACTGTATTGCATGTGTAACCCACCTAACGAGGTATTCCCTGAGGCTTTTTCCTTCTTCCTTGCTTCAGGAACGTGCAATGGAAATGCTGCATGGAAGCAGTGATCCCGTGCTGATTCCATGTGTCATCTCTTGTTCAGTAGCTGAATAACAGCTGGCTACTGGCTCTCTAGAAACTAGAGGGTACATAATTCAATTTTTCCATGTGTGTTCCAGTTCCTTATTGGGAATTCCCCTTGGAGATAGATGTGTCTTCTCACAAACTGCACTCGAGAATAAGAACCTAAGAGACCAACTTACTGCAAAACGATCCCTGGGAGGAATGAAAACCTTTGCTTGTGAAAGGTCACCAGAAAAGTGGCAGTAGGGCCACAGAATTAGGCTGCACTAGGGAAAATAACATTCTTGCCTTCTATATTGGGTTTTGTGCTGACTGTCCCAAAATCTCTAACTTTGCATATTTGACTTAATGAAAACTGAGAAATGAGCTTAGCTCATTTTTTTACCAGGCAAATTTTATGTGACCTCAGGACCTTTCTTTTATCTGTTGTTGCAGAAGCAAAGTATTAGGCAGTTGTGTACTTTTCCCTGATGCAGCTAGTAAGAAAGGACACATATTTCAAGGTGGGTTATAATATTCTTTGCCTGACTGCAAATTCTGAGATTACCGAAGTAACGAAATTGAGCTAAATGTCATGTTATCCTTTGGATTAATGGAAAATAATTAAGATCATCACTGACTTTATTGAAGGATGTGGGTTTGCTGCCTGAAGCATAAGAAGCTCCTTTTATATCTTCCCTAAAAATGGACAGCCCTTCTCTGTTATTAAGTGTTGTCTACAGTGTGTAATCCCATGAGCATAATGACTGTATTTCTCCTTGTTCATCATGTTAGCAAATGATAGAGAGTCTTGGGCAATTTGCACTGGAGGTCTTGAGCCATGCAACAGATGAGCAGGTGTGAAGTTCAGACATTTGTTTGACTTGGCTACTGAATTGACACTTCAGTTCCCATGCATGGTGGTGTGGCTGGAGCTGTCTGGGAGAGAAGGATGTGGGGGTTCTAATTGATCAGCAGCTGAAGATGATCCGGTAGAGTGTCCAGGTGGCCAAGAAAGCCAACGGCATCCTGGCTTGTATTAGAAATAGTGTGACCATCAGAGGTAGGGAGGTGACAGTCCCCCTGTACTCTGCACTGGTGAGGCCACACCTGGAGTGTTGTGTCCAGTTTTGGGCACCTCAATACGAGAGAGATATCGAGGTGCTGGAGCGAGTGCAGAGGAGGGGATTGAAGCAGGTGAAGGGCCTGGAGAACAGATCCTCTGAGGAGAGATTGAGGGAGCTGGGACTGTTCAGTTTGAGGAGGAGAAGGCTGAGGGGAGACCTCATCACTCTCTACAGCTACCTGAAAGGACATTGTAGAGAGGTTGGTGCTGGTCTCTTCTCACAGGTGATTAGTGACAGAACAAGAGGGAATGGCTTTAAACTCCAACAGGGGAGGTTCAGACTGGACATTAGGAAAAAAATTTTCACCAAAAGAGTGATCAGACAGTGGAATAGGCTGCCCAGGGAGGTGGTGGAGTCACCATCCCTGGATGTGTTTAAGGGTCGTTTAGATGAGATGCTGGGGGACATGGTGTAGGGGAGAACTTTGTAGAGTAGGGCTGATGGTTGGACTCAATGATCCCAGGGGTCTTTTCCAACCCGAATGATTCTGTGATTCTATGATAAACTACACTGTGTGGAGGAGTAAAACCATGTAGGAGCAGATGGTCTGCTGCTCTTGTTCTACTTCAGCAAAGAGAGGAGACACTAGTGAATCCTCTTTAGGTGAAGTGCCCTGGTTAACAAAGCACTGCAGGCAGGCAGAGGCTGAGTGTAGGTGATGGCTCTCTCCAGCACTTATGGCACATAATTATTCAGGCTGGGTTCTGGCCATCAGGTCACCTTCTGGATTTTGTAGCTTTGTGGGAGACTTCAGTGCAGTGACCTGGACTCACATAAAATCAGCTGTGTATGGAGTCAAGAAAATGCAATCCTCTCTGGTGACCCGATGGTGTGCCCTGAATCGGCCAGTGTAGACAGGTAGTTGGACGTACAACACAGTGACTTGGCTTGTGCTTCTTGTATTCTCCCCTAGCAGCCTTCAGCCAGGGAGCTGAAGGGAGAAATTCAGTGTTCACATACGAGAGCCTTTGACCACCTTCAGTGCTCTCCGTTTGGCTGCCACAGTGTCACACCAAGCCCTTCGGTGGAGGGAATGATTTGGCCTCCTGAAACAGAGATTTATTTTGAAAAGTCTACTGTAATATCTTCTGTGTCTCTGAATGTACCATGGAGGCACTTCATCCTTATCATGAAGGAAGTAGCTGAGGCTCTCTGATACTATTCTTTTAAAATCAAAACATTAAAGCTACAATGCAATGATTTTCAAATTTTCCAGACATCCCTCCCACTGGCATTAATTGCCCCCCTGCTGTTCCTGTTGCAAAGCTGTTTGCTCTTTCAGTATGCAGTACTTGTTCAGTGCTGCACTAAACCTTTGTTGCTTTGCAGTAAAAAAAGCTTCAGTTTATGCAAATTGAAATGAGTTTGATAAAGTGATAAACAGTCACATTTTATGATTGCAACTGTTGGGGTTTTGTTTGTTACTTCACAGTTAATTTTGTGGAAGTTAAAGGCTTTACAAACTCCCTTCTGGCATCCATGCAGTAATACAGTGCTCCCATAACAGCATTTTAAGAATTTGGTAGGGCCACCAAGCCAACATGGTAGGAGGATCACATACATCCAACATCACAGAGTCCCTTTCCCCTGTGGTAGCGCTCCCTCCCAACTCAAAATCTCCTTGTACCTAGCAGCTCATCTTCTGTTTTGGTTACTCTGTCTTTGGATGGCTCTTAGGTTTCATGCCCTTTTCTTTAATTCCTCTTCCTTTCTGTTTCTGACACATTATTATTATTCTTTCCAGTGACAGTACCAGACCTCCAAAATCCCATATTCCCCAAGAGTAATTTGACATACATTACTGTGCAATTCCTACTGGTAGATTGGATCAAGTGCTTTATTTTTATCCAGGTCAGCTGCTGAGGACTGTGGTTGACTTTTCTTCCTCAGTAGCTGCACAACAAGGTGGGAGTATTTCTGTCACCTGAGTATTTCTGCTGTAGCTGGAGGTTTGTCCTCCCCTGAGTTCAAAGTACCCAGTACACAAGTAGGGTTGCTAGTGGTCATTAATGGAAGATATGAGGCCCCCATTTAGATTAAATATCAAATGGAAAAACCTAGAAAAAGTGTGACTATGGCTGCACGAGGAGTAAATGAACGCAGTTTGATTCTATCTTTGTCTGACATAGGGTTTGATGACCTACATGCTTGTGCTGATCCTGGAGCTCCTGAACATGGATACAAGACACCCAGTGCAGGTGTTTTCTTTGAAAGTGTGGTGGTCCGGTTTCATTGTCAAGAAGGATACAGACTTAATGGTACTTCAAAAAAACTTTGTGTGAGACACTTTAATGGCTCCCTGAGCTGGAAACCAAGTGATAAACCTGTGTGCCTACAAGAAGGTAAGTCACTTTTCTTAAAGCGGTTCACCAATGTGTTTTTTTTCTCACTTGTCCATGTACCATGTTTGTGTGTCTTGGTACAAAACAAAAAAAGAGCGGAGTCCATTTCACTGTGTCTCATTTGATACATACTTTAGTTTCCTATCCTTCCCATCCATAATCCTCATTTGTCAGTTAAATTTATGCCGTGAGAGGTTGTGTGTGTGCACACATGCATGTGTTGAAAGGGACATAAAGAAATCAGAAGAAAAAAAGATAATACATTACTCCTTTTAACTAGTTACAGATTGATGCAGAGAGAAAAAACAACCTCCAGTATATGTAATCTGTAACAATTTATTAAAGCTGCCCACTTAATACTCCTTTCTGCAATATATTATTAATCAGGAGTTTTAAACAATTCTTGTTTATGACATGTGCATGATTCAAGTAGGAAAATCAAACACACATGGACTGCAGATGTTTAAAGTCACAGTAGAAGTTTACTTTGAGATAATTCAGACTACTATGACATGAATTTTATTGTATTACATTTTTGAAATTGGATTTGGTTTTAAATAATTAGGACGTTAAATTACTTTCTTCTTCTAGGAGTTAGATAGAGCAGTATTAATTTGAATATCATAAGTGTAAACTTCGGCCAAAATACATCCACAAGCATCACAAACAATTTATTTCACCAAGTATATTGAAGATATAACTTGTTCTTTTTGTTGATTTATTTTTGGTCAACATAGCTATTAAAATCAACAGGCATGAAAAGTATTAATTAAATCAAGTGCATACATTTTAGTGTTGTGACTTCTCCACTGAAGTCATTGGCCATCGCCTTGTAGTCTTCAAGGTAGTCAAGATAAATTCTATTTCAGAAGGCCTTCCATCATTTAAATTCAGATAATTATATGGACTTCATTCAAAAGCAGTCAGAGACTTATGTGGCTCATAAACACACTTACTACATCGGATCATGCGTCACTCTGCGTGTATAAAAACTGCAAGTACTTGTTTATGCTGATGGGTGGGTAGGTGTAAGAATCCTGTGCTGGGACAGGGGTGCATGAAGGGACATGCCACAAAAGGAGCAAGCAGGGCCTGGGAGTGCCACGCTCAGGAGGTACATGTGAAGAGAACAACCCTAAGCAGTGGTCTGTGTGAAAGTGTTGCATGAGATACTGGAGAGAGTAGCTTGAGGCAGCTGGTAAGTAGTCTGTGGTTTTTCAGATAGCTGCCCTGTTGGCAGGAGAGGTCTTGACAAAATACGGGCTCCTGGACATGTGTGAGGCTACAGGCTACAGAGCTGTGAGGGGCACAGTTGTGAGCTGTCTCATGGTATGCACTGAGACCACAGCTTCTGTGTAGAACGTCAAGGCAATGGGGCCAGTAACACCCGGTCGTAAGGGTGGTCAGCTTCAAAGAAACAAGATGATGCCTTTAAAAATAATGTATGTGTGAAAATCATGACCTCTTCTGTTACAGCCCCCTTTCATAAATGCCTTGTCTCATGGTTATTTAAGAAAAAATACATGTAGATTGACAGCAGCATATGTCTAAACTGGGTATTTGAACAACCAGAAAAAGCTATAATGCTTGGAAAATCTGTTTTCTTAACCACTACAGGTAGCTTCTAGGAATTTTGATGTGCGTCTTTGATGCACACCTGTATCATCCACTGCAGTTGTTAAAATAAGCATTAACATCTTTCACTGAATATTCAAATCTTCTCCCAAGCCCCCCAGTCCAGTGGAAATCTGTGGAGGAAGTTTCTGACCACAATGCCATCAACAGCAAAACTTCCACTGATATCAGTGTGATCAACACTTGAGCCAGGTGTTTTCAAAAAAGAAAGAAATTGGAAGATGAGAATGTGATGGATGATGTGACAACAGTTGCTAAAGAGATAATCATTACTCTACAGCACAGAGCATTTAAAAAGGATTGCTAGCCAATGTTCTGATCAAGCTAAGCACTTAAGCTTGAGCATAACTGTAATTATGTGATTAGTCTTGTTAAAAAGTTCTGTGCTCAAAATTAGGCATACACAAAAATGCTTTTTATTATTGGGACTGAAGAGTAGGACCCTGATTTAGGATTTAGTGAAGCAAGTGCTTAAGTACTTTCCTGATTAATGGTATAATAATACCTCAGGTATTATTAAAACAATCCTAGGCTTTAGCAATAGGGAAAAAAACAGATGACAGAATTAATTTTTCTTTCCAATGCACAATACAACCACTGATTCAGATGAAATACTAAGCAAAGGTTCAGTAGCAATCCACGAGACCTAAGCATTTGCTTAAGTGCTTTTTAAAGTGATCCTTTTGTGTACTCGGAGCAGAATCGTGAGCAAGGGGCACTACAGGGAGGTAGGCTGTGTAGGAACATGGCACATCTGGAGAACAGTTAAGGAGAAATTATAACAGGGTTTGTAATTCTCAGCTGTCTAATGACATACATAAAAGACCTCATTGCAGAAATTCTGTAATGACATATAAAAAGAAATTTGAAATTTGTAGCAAGTACTGGAGAAATAAGAAGTTAATGTTTTACCATTCATCATTAGCTATCACAAGGCAAAATAAACTTTATGTTGCATTTACCCATTTAAGGCAGGGGCTGGCTGCCATGTGTGCTGTGGTATGCTACACACGCCTCTCATCCCAGTATATGTAACTGTCAGATATTGCCAGCCAAGCTTGAACAGTAAAAACACTCAATACTTTGGAGTTCATTTTAACTTAATCTCAGGAGTTTGGATTCAACTAAGGATGGTTACGTATCATTTTATGTCTATGTTATGCACATTTAATTGTTGTTCTGTGTTTACTAGAACAATCTCCAATCACAAACAAATGCTATTTACCAGAGGAAGTAAAGCAACCTGTTTCAGAATGTAATTGATTTTAAAACTAATTCATTTGCCTGGAGCTCTTAATCCAATCAATTTGATTTTATAGGTCTGTCATTTCTTGTTAAGAGGCAGGAGATTCTAAGTGTCAGCACGAGAATTAAGTTGCATGACTAGGTGCCCAATAAATGCCCTGTCAAAAATCTGTGTGCTTAGAGTTACGCTGTCATGTTGATCTACTGCATGTTGCGACTGTAACCTCCATCAATCCTAATACAGTTATGCACATAAATACCAAAGCTCTAAGGTAGGAATTTTGTATTTACTGTTTAAGAGCAGTATGTCATGTTGTTCACACTTTAATCTAATCTTCTCCCACTGTGATAATGTGGCTGCTGAGGCTGTTACCCTACTTGGAACAAACGCTACCTCTTTGCTATGAGATTGAATCTAAATTTACAGTCTACATGGAGATGGCAACCAAGCAAAGAGCTGTGCCCTTCTCTCCCAGTGCTTCTGCAGGCAGACGCCTTCGAAATGTCCTCTGTGCCTTGTTCTCCTACTGACAGGGATAATAAACCTGCAGTGAAAGTAGTGGACTAGTACATAGTTTGGCTACAGTTTTCCTGTATGACATTAGCACTCGTTTCTCTTTGCTTTTGTCTCTGCATCTGTGAGATGACTGAAATATTTTTATTGCTCCATCTCCTATCTGTCTTACGCAGTGTTTGCTGATTCTTAAACCTGGTTACAAACACTATATGAATTTTGCAACCTGTGCTTAGCACAGTGGCCACAGATCTTAGGTGAAGTCTCTGTGCGCTGTTGTAATACAAGCAAAGACGATAAAGAGAAAGCTTTTTTTAAAATGCACTGAAATACTGTGTTTGCCATACACAGAACTATCCTCTAACACAGTACTATGGATTTAACACTAGTAAAAAAACCCAGGTGATACTGATCTTAAGTATTTGCTTTTAAGAGGATGGGGTCCAGAAGAGCTGTCCCTGCACTCAACTGATTCTTCATGATGTTCCTTTTACCCTTTCTCCCTGTTCCTTTCTGTTCCAGCCTGTCAGTGTTGTGGTTAGATTAATCAAGGCTAGTTCAGACACTGCTCCGCAGTGAGATACACAGGAGCACTGGACCTCTGCGTTTGAGTTTACATACAGACTAGGAAACAAAGCAATGCCAGAGCATGGGCCAGGGCAGTGCTCTGCAACTGCACATACTGTTACAGTATTAGAAAGGTCCCTGACATGTTTTTTGCCAATGCCAAGCAGTACTCCCCAAGCAATTCCTACGAGCACCTTCTGGATTAGCATGGACCAGGGACAGTTTTTGGAGGGTAAGAGTTCACCTGCACAAGCCATGCCAAGCCAGCTGGTACCCATGGATGGTGTGGCTATCTCCATAGTGTCTAGGTCATGCCTTCCTTCTGAATTGCCTTTATGGTCCAGGTGCTCCTGGGAGGAGGAGGGTGGTCATCCTTCCCCCATGGGCTGGAACAAACAGTTTTGAGACATGATGCGTGATTTGCACGTAAACTAAAGCATTATAACTATAGTGTTTAACAAATCTTACTCTTCAGACTGATCGTCCTGTGATGGAGGACACACTTGGTTTGCTAAAGCCAAGAACTCCTAATGTATAAAGCTACATCTTCATGCAAGTTAGGTCAAGATGAGCATCAGGCTGTCAGGCCTGCTGGCTGCACCCCACCTCTTTGTGCTTCTGCAAGATAAGGAATGTGTTCTTTTGGCTGTCCCATTTTAATATTCACATGGTTGATATAAGCAGATTGTGTAAAACTGCCAGAAAGGAGTGTAAGTCATAGCCGTTGCTGTTCCATGCTGGTTAAAGACCATGTATTCCCTTAAATGGTTTAGCAGCTTCCACAGATTTGCTGAAAAGTACTTAGAATAAAGCAGTTTATTTTCTAGGACAGGACATTTTAAAATCCAGTCACTTATTCTCAGCTTTTCCAAGCAGAATTTGTGCCAGCTAATGCAGTTGTTTGTGGAGAGGTGGCTACTGTCATTTATGCCTGACTAAGTGCTAAACAATACAAAATCAGCCAGTGGGAAAGCATTTGCTCACAAGGCATCAGCAAAAAGAGCTGTAAAACTGTGGTCCATTGGTCTTGCGTTTAGCCGGGGCTTATAATAGACCTGTTATCAAAGTCAGCCAGGATGTTGTAGGTGAAGGATGGTACAGTGAGCAACTTATCACTGTTCTCTGCCAACATCTAGCCGATTAAAATGATTCGATCTATAGCTGTTACTTGGAATAATGGGCATGAAGTCGCTGTAATAGATCATTGTTACAGAATCAATTTCCCCCGCTTTGAAAGTGAAATCTCATATTTTACTGCAGTGTATGTATACACACCTCCTTTATTTGTATAGCAACAGAAAGCTGTTATGCCAAGAGAGTAAGCTGTTCATTGACGTTATCTTCTGGCATCCATCTCCAAACCTCCTCCGGCGTGGCCATGGAGCAGGATCCCCATCTATCTCATCCCACCCTCAGGGGTGCCCAGGGCTGCCTCTTCTCTTCATGACAGCATTCAAGGCTTAGCATCAGGCATTTCTTATGGGGCATCCTCTGCTGTCTCCTTTGCTGATTAACTTGTCAGAGAGAGAGAGAAAAAATGATCCAGTCTTTGAAGGTGATGTCTGCATCCTCAGCCCAGTGCATTTTTATAACCTTCTGTTAGGGTACGTATCCTTTCAGTCTTGGGCATTTATAAATTAATAAATTATAATAAAACATCTTGCTGCAGGGTCTCAGACCACCCATCAGACTCCCAGCCCTTCCTGTTACAGACAGCAGAAGGTACCTGCTGCAGCAGCCAAGGAGCTAAAAGTAACAAGATAAATGGATAAAATTTTGACTAGTATGACCAGGCCCCATACTAAGAGTTAGCTAAGGATGTGTTTTAGAAAACATTCCTGTAATGGGAAGGTACAAAGGAAAATATGTTTTAACTGGGGAAATAATGCTCTTCAACTTCACATTAGTAAAATTTAGTGATGCATCACAGAATAATAGATCCCCTAGTTTGCCTAAATAAATAAATACATTATGAAATGCATTTGCTCTTAGCAGTTTGAGTGTGCTCTGCTAAATGACAGTTTATCTTGCTTCTAGTTGTACTTCTAAGCAAACAAGCAAGCTGCTGCTATTGCTTTATTTTGTGCATGCTCACAATTAATTGCCAAATACACATTTAGCACTGCCTCTTCCTCTTTAGCAAAAATTACCCGTGAAAATGGCAGAAACTTTCTCTTTTATGCAAGTCTCAAGGGACTTCTGAAATGTCGTCTTTTTTATAAACATTGCATTCCTAAATGAAGACAATTATCTCTTGTGGTAGAAGTGTTGGGAAAAAACCCCGGTCTAATCCAGTCTTACGATATTTTTACTGTCTTGCTTTTATTTGAAATACTTTGTACGTTTTGATGCCTGGAAACTTTTATTACCATTTCTGTCATGGATTGACTGCTGGCAGACAAACATAATTTTGATTATATTTTCCCAATATTTAATCTTTTCCTTTCTTCTGTTTAATCTCACTTTGCATTTCTGAGGAGGATGAACTTTGAGTCACCTGGATTATTCCTTCATGTCCTCTTGGCTTGTCTCTTAATTATTCAGTATTAGCAGAGGAACTTTTACCCTGCCTCACCCCTTCCTTCCACTTTCCACAACATCTTTCATTTTTTTAGACTTCTGGGTTTTATATTATATTTTGGTGTCTTTGGCACCGGTATATACAGTGAGAGAACTGTCCTATACATGTATCATGGATGGGTAATAAAGCCCATGCCTGTGTATCACCAGAGGTCTGCAGTCATTTACCTTGTTGAGAATCTTCTACAAGCACTTGAGATGCTGCTCAGGGCCTTAGAAATCAGGTCCTCTAAATGCATATGAATTCAGGCACATAAAATTACCTGATTTAAAACAGAATTAATGAGATGGGAGTGAAGACATTCTCATAACAAAGTCTGTGGAATGGATCTGGATAAACCCTTGTAAATGTACCTGATTTTCATCTGTCTCTCTGCTAAAACTGCAGTTTTTCTGTGTTCCTCATGCCATATCTGTATTTTATCTTTTCTTTTGTCCTGTCCTTAGTGCTGTTATAGAGTCTGCCTTCTCGTGGGACTTTGGAATAGTTAGACTGTGCAGTGTAGTTTGCACACATGATGAATGGAAGGGCAAAATTAAAAAGTCTTCTTAAACACTTTTAATTTTGTTTGTTTTAAAAAGTCGGGGGGAATGATCCTTTATTGTAGCACATCAGCTTCTACTACAGTGCTATAGACTTTGTAACTGATGGTTATCTGTGGAAAGGACATACTGACTGAAATGCATGTATTATCCAAACAGTTTAAGCAGAGCACTTCGATTAACTGATAACTTTTGCTTAAGAACTTGATTATCGAATAGCTAGCCATGTTTTTTTAATTAAGTTACTATTTTTTTTTTTTATGAAGTCACAGATTGCCTTGTTCCACATGTTGAAGATGCAGAGATTCATAACAAGACATACAGGACTGGCGATAAGTTAATAATCAGCTGTCATGAAGGATTCCAGATCCGTTACCCTGACTTAGACAACATGGTTTCAATATGTCAAGACGATGGAACATGGGATAATCTGCCCATTTGTCAAGGTTTAGTACACCAGCACATCCTGTTTTATAGCTCATGCATCTTGTGATAGTTTGCCAATATTTTTTTCTACAGTTGTAAGGATGTCAGTGATCTCATAAGCTTTACTGTACAGTATTTGAATAGTTCTGCTGCTAAGAGTTTTTTGATTTCTTTTGTTGCTTACTGCAGGAAAGAAAATGTCACTTTCTGAACATACTCACACTTAAAATACTACTTTAAATATTGCTTTTTTGTTTGCTAGTCTAAAATCTGACACAGATACATTGAATTAAAAAAAAAAAATCAGGGTTAAATCAGTCAGATGTTCAGCAAAAGCTCTGATGGGCAATTGACATTTTTGCACCAATTAATTTCTGGAAAGATTTAAGCTTCTAGCTGCAATTTACCTTTCTTTCCCTTGTGCAGTGGGCAAGGGTAAAGGAGAGAAGCTGGAACCTGTTCTTCTATCAGAGTTTTCAGCAGAGTTGTTGATCACATTCACAGTCTGTTAAACGATAGGTATTGCCTGAAAATTCAGGGTATTCACAGGAATGGTTTCGGCCAGCAAAGCCGTTAGCTGTAGAACTAGTAATATTAGTAGCATGGGATCCCAGCTTTGCTCAGACTGCGAGAAATGGCTGGGGGTAAGCCAGCTGTAGTGAATGGAATTTCTGTAACCCTGGGCTGCTATTACAAGTCAATGGTTTAGTACCATTGACTTGTTTTTAACCAATTCACATCTTGGTAACAAGCTTGACCAGCTGAACAGCATAGCGAGATTTTAACTGTCTGTGCTAAGACGACTGGGTTAGTATTAACTTTCTGCAAACCTGTATATTGTCTCCTAAAGCTGACAGGTCTCTGTAGGCACTTAATTACACCATCACATCAATTTGTAGAGTCAGGGCAGGCAGACAGGGGAGCTGGGGCATTCTTAGGAGTGACAGTGGCAGAGTGAGATGTGAAAGTTGAGGCTTGTTTCTGCTGTAAAGTGATGAGATTGGTGGGCACCAGAGTCAGAAGTTACAGGGGCTTAGTTCGCATGTGTCTCCACAGCTAGGACCCTCGGTTTGGGCACATCAAACTGTCCCCCAAGATCTTCTCTTAGACTATGGCACAGACATGTAGAAATTTAGGCACATTACAGGGCTAGCTCAGTGTTGTAGATGCACACATTTTATCTGAATAGGGCTAATAGAAAAAGAGAGTTTGTACAAAGCCATGAAGAAATGGACACTAGTTTTGGGGTATTTTATTGGCAATGGCATCATGTGTGGCAGCATGAAGTATACAGCCTATTTTTGAGAGTGGGTACACGTCACATCTAATTAAGGTAAATTAAGATTCTTGCAGTTAGGTGAGATGAATCAAAAGATTGATTTGCAGGTCCTGTATTTGCCAAAGATCCAGGAGGAAATTTTGTGACAGCCAGCATTACCTGGCTAAGCAAAAGTACCGCAAGTAACCCTTGGCTTGTTACTTTCTTCTGTTGTTGTATTTATGCTATGAAATACAATTAATTGCTGCTACTCAAGATTTGATATAACTGCTTTTCAAAATAAACGCTTTAAAACTGCTTTTCAAACTAAAAGCAGTGCTAATAAAAGTAAGGAAATCAATTGCACTAGAGCCAAGTGCTGTAACTACTAGACAGGTAGAGAATAGGCAATTCAGATTCAAGTATCTGCCATATTTTGCCCAATTCTATAAACCTCTCACAAAATTGTCTCCAGAATTTTCTTTTTGCTATGTCAGGCACTAATAACATCAAAGCCACTTGTCTACTTGCACTAGGTTGGCTGTCAATTACCTTTCTAGGGGCCTTTGATTACAACAGGCAGGGGAATCTCATGACACTGAGATGCTTTTTTTTCTGTCATAGCAGTGCGAAAGGATTGTAGAGCGTGTAAGAATCCAACCTCTAACTATTTTTTTCCATGAGATAATAATGATAATTACTGATCTGAAATGATGTGAGCTACTTTAGCAAAGAAAATGTCAAAATGAACTTTTCAAGCAGAAATGTTGAGATGTTTGGAGACCTAGGGATTTTCACAAAACACTGTTCTCCAACAAATTCAAGTAATTCTCTGTCCTGCATTACAAGAAACCCAATGAGCATTAACATTCTGAATCATCAGGACAAAATTTTCCCTGACACAGTTTAGAGAAGAGTAAGCTTTGTCTTGCTCAGGCAGTCTGTGCGCCTTCTGTCCCACTGGAGAGTGCTTATATCGTCCTGCTCAGTGGGCTGCTCAGTTTGCAGGAACTGGTGTGTTATGTGTGGGGTATACTTGATCAGGGGTACAAGCAGTAGCCAGTAGATAGGATGCTTGAAGCTTTATTTGAACAGGGAGATAACCAGCTAGTAAAACAGCTATCAAAACCATTGCTCTGCTAGTACAGTGTACTGTAAAAAGCTTTCAAGCTTTTTCTGTTGTTTTATTTTCGCCCCTCTCCCTCAAAAGACCATTGCAAGCAAATAACTACTTGAAGTGCTGCTGAGACTTTTTCTGTTAGATGCCAGTATCTTACAAGTTCCCAGGCTGATTTTAGTTTCCCCTCAGGCTTAAAATGATGAGAGTTGTGTGAACATCCTTCACAAATTCCTAGTAGTGGCAAGAGACCTATTTATGGATTGCCATAATGCAGCATCTATTAGTCTCATAACTTCATAGTATTATTTTTCATTCCCTGATTACTAATCATCTTTCCTCCACATTATTGCAAATTAAAAAATCAACAGTATTAAGTATTACGCAGAGGGGTATTTCTAAGGCCATGAGGAATTTTTTTTTTTTCCTCTAGTACAAACTCTTATCTAAATAGCCGCTCAAAACAGACTCTGAATGTATATGAATGACTCATTATAAAGTGAGGTCATCTGTTAAATTCACTGCTCTTTCTTGCACCAAATATGGTTGGTGACCATTTAACTGGTACCACCCATGGTACAGATCCCTCAGAAGTAATTCCAGAAAGAGAATGTAGTCTCTGACTACATTTACAATTTTTGGTGATAATAGGTACCTTAACTTTCTGATAACCTAATCTGAGACCTCATTCAGTGTTTATCGTGGGACTGCTCATAGGAAGACTTTCTCAAACTGGAATTTCAAAATCATCGATTCTGTCTGCAAATCTTTTATGGTTGTGTGCACTTTGTCATGGGAGCAGTTTTAATATTAAAAATGGTTTACATGCCTGTCAGTTTTAAGAGGAGGAATAAAATTCATGGTTTATATAAATGACAATCTTTATTTATTAAAGATTCTACCTCGGAAAGAAATTGCCATCTGCTAAACCAGTGAATGTTTGTGAAACAAAATGCTGTCATTTTCAGTAAACCTTTCCTGGATCTGCTGAGAGTGGATCCCACGCTAGCAAAGCGTGTGGGCTAAACAATGAAAGGGTTTGAAGCAGTATAATGAAGCATATGTATCTGAGGGAGATCATGCTGGCATGCCATTCATAGTAGAGAAGATGAAAAATATCACACTCCTCAATTTAGGAATTGTAACCAAGATGTGTGAAGATGACTGAGATAAGCACTTTATAATAAAAGATACCTCCCTCTTCTTAATTTGCAGGTTGCCTGAGGCCATTGGTTCTTCCTCATAGTTACATTAACATATCTGAGTTCGAGTCCTCCTTCCCCGTAGGAACAGTGGTGTATTATCAATGCTTTCCTGGATATAAACTAGAAGGGGCAGAGTTCCTTGAGTGCATGTATAACCTTATCTGGTCAGATAGCCCACCTAGGTGCCTTGACGTGGAAGGTAAATGTCTTATTGTTTGTTTATCTTTCAATTTTCCAAAACCAGCATGCTCTATATGATTTTAACTCAGGGCTATAACCACAGTTATGATAAATGTAATGTTTCCACAGGCCATGCAAATTGTATCTGGGTTTTGTTGCACGCAACCTACTGTGGTTCACTGCACCATTAGCCCTTGGTGTTCCCTAACAAACATTTGCTCTCTTGGTGTCCTAAGTGCAAGAGAGGAAGCTCTTTAGTAATGATTGCTTTGCCCTTAAAGAGTAAATTCTTTGCAGCTTTTCTAATGAAAATGCCGGGGAAGTTACGGAATTCACATTTGTGCGCAGATGGTCTGAGTTTCTATAGATACAGTTAGATATCTATGAAAAACTAAAAAATACTCTATAGAAACTCTTAGTTTGGGCTGTGCAAGCTGCAGACATCATTCAGTGCTACACAGTGCTGCATGCTTGAATATTTGTTGTCTCTCATAGTAGTTAACCTTAAAGAAGGATTTGCACCTAAAATGACTGAGCTAATTTATTGATTAGGAACATAAAAACTGTTCAGTGTGAAACAGAGGTAAATTGTACCAGGCTGAAAGAAATAATCTGTGACTATAGCTGCAGCGCTGGAATGGAGGATATTGTAGTGCATTTATGTTGGCATCCCATACATTTAAAACAAAGGTACCGAATGTATTGCTCTATGCACTGTCAAAACCGTGTGAATTACCTTCCTCTATCTTATGCTATCTTGAATGAAATATCCTAGGAAGTCATTAGAATCCAAACACATCCTCTACATTTCATTCCCCTAAAAGGACTACTTTTTTGGTCTATTTCAAGCCTGTAGAATTTAGGTGAAAGCAATTATAGGAATTCATATGTGAGGCTTATGTCACTGAGCTAAATGCTAAGCATTCTGGAAGAGCAAAAATTTGCCAACAGCATCACCAAAGTGACATATACTGCACAAAAATAATAAACTGATCCTTCTTTTTAACTGACAATTCAAGTTCCAAAATTCAAAAATGCCTCTGCAATTTTGGAATGACATAAAAAAATGATTATTTTTTAGTTTAGCACACCATAAAAGATTAATCCCAATTCAGCTCTACATAAGCTATTTTTGGAAGGTTTGTTTGTGGTTGTTTATAACATGGAAAATACATTTAAAAAATCGGAAGGGCCCTCTTAGGCTTAATCCAAACATCATAACTGTTTTGAAAAAATTAAAATTCTCCAGTCAGAAAGATAATAGCATAAAAATACAGGCACTGAAGTGTATGAAACAGAAGAAGATGTGTCTTCCCCCTATGTGACACAGGTGAGAATTTAAACTCCTATCAAAATACCTGGAAAAACTCATGTGCTAATCGTTTATTGCTTGTATTATAAAGTCATAGAGAGACTCTTTTTTCTTGATAATTTAAAATATGGCATAAGGACTGCTGCCCTGAAAGTTCTACGTTTTAAATAACATGTCAAAAGTTATCATCCCCAGTCAACTATGATGATCTGTGATAGAGGGGATCAGTGTGTGCCAGCCGCTAAGTCAAGGCCATCTGGGAAGCCTCCTGAGTTTTGATTTAGATCCAGCCTCCCTTTTAATTGCTTTCTTATTACTCTCTCTAAATGTTAAAACTTCCCATGGTGATTTCATGTTGGCGTCCCATCTGTGCATGTATTGAGTGAACCACAGGAGACTGAAGTCTAGAGCATAACACTTGCAGGAGCAGGTTCTCCTCAGCTTTGGGGCTGTCCCTACTTCTGTTGGGGCAGAGGAAAGAGCAGCAGCACTACAAGGTAACCCCTGACAAAGCCCCTTGGGAACTCTGTTGTAGGGATGCTTCAGCTGGTATGCAGCAAACATCAAAATTAAATCCAGATAAGGTAAATCAACTTGAGATGTCCTCCTTTGAAAGTGTTCAAGTGATTTATGCAAGGACTGCCAGTCTCCAGGAATCTTGTTTACAATCCACTACTCTTAATTAGTGGACAAAACTCCCTCCCTGCATATTTTTTTCTTCTACACCTTGCATCCTGATGTCAGACTCATTTTTCAACATTCCTTTAATGTGTGAGACATAATCTCGCCAAGCAGTTTTTTTTCACAGAGGAAATCTGCAAATAACAAATGCATTCCCTTTATTTATTTCCATGATCATTTCAAAATTTATTCTAATGACATTTCCTGCTTAGTATTTTAATACGGTAATGATTAAAAGGAAATGGTTGTTTGGAAGCTATAGTAAACTATTTAGACTTTCTATTCTGCTATAAACAATGCTGCTTACAGCTTTCTCATTTTGATATATGTTCTTGAAACCTTCACAGAAGGAGCTTCTTAAATGTGTGTGTAATCATACAAATCCTATATGTCAGTCTCGTGAAGTTTTCCCTCTTCTTTAGGCCAAATAAATTCTGAATGAAGGGTTTGTAGCTCCATTTAAATAGTTACACCAGGGAGCACTCAGCTCCCGTTGTACAGCATGCTTTTTAATGCTCAGTCCAGTCTTAATATTGCCAAGCACAGAGCTTCCCCCAGCTCTGGCGAGAGACTAATTTTTGCTGATAGGGAAGACAACTTTTCTGATAATTAAAATCACTGTTGCTTTATCACAGCAGTATATAATAATTGTTACCTGGTACTGAAGTGCAGCCAAAAGTGCAGAGTTATGCAGTCACTTCTCAGAAACAGCTGTTTGCATTTGATCAGGGAAGTTGTTATCGCTCAGGCAAATAAGGATGCCTCTAGCTCAGATTGCCAAGTATTTACTGGTATGAGATCCACTTATTAAATGCTTGTACCTTTGCCAAATTTAAAACATTCAGTTGGATTTTTGAGTGTCTTCCTCAAGCTGAATCATTTGGGAAGCTTCAGTTGAAATGGTTCAGCTATATCTGAGAATGACAGTGGAGGAAATGGTGTTGTTTTACCAGTGCTAGAAAATTTTACAGTCATTTAGAGGATAAGATAAAGCACCTTAACACTCAATTTTCTTCTCCTTTAAGTCCTCGATTTACATCTTTAACTTTCTTAATATCCTTTTTTTCTAGTGGAATTCCATAATTATGCAGTTTTTTAAAACTTTCTTTTGTACTGAAACTCACTAGACACTTCAAAAGATACATGAAAACCTAAGGATTTTTTTTAAATTTATATTATTTTTTAATTACCAGTTAGGGGTTAATCATCCATCTGTAGAAACTGATGTAAGTTAGTGGTTGCCTTCTGTAAAATCAGATATGCAAAAGATGGGTGGAAAACCCCTTAAATTTAAGATTACTACATGGGGTATAAACATTAACTGTAAAATCAAAAACACTGGAGGAGGGCAAACACTTGAAAACATATTGGTATGGAACGCTGTGAAATCAAACATCTAAAACTAGAAATGTTTATGATATGATACTTTAATGTGAACAAAGACATTACACGGGATTTGGAAAAATTTTAAAAACCCAAAACCAAACAAAAATGCCTGGTCATTACTACTTTGGAAACATGATCTGTATATGTTTACACACCTTGCCATCTGAACTCTGTATTTTAATCTTTCATGCCCCTTGGAAGACTTCCAAGAAGATGTAAGGAATAGTTCTTATAAAGAACCGAGGAGGAAAACAGGCAAAGAGGGGAAGGGGCTGGGAGAATTTGATTACAATGCTAATGCTAGAATATAAAGCAGTTGTATGGATAGTGCAACTGGGAATTCCCAGCTTTGTATTATTTAAGAGTAAAAGGGAAAACAAGTTGATTGAATTTGCAAAGAACAGACATGATCCTATTATCTGGAATGTCTGGTTTCAGCATCATCCCAGCTGAACAGAAAAGCTGGTCCTGCAGGAAATCAGATATATTGCAATATCAAAACTTCATTCTGCGTGCCAAAATCAACAGATTCTCCAGCTGAGGTTAAGCTTGAAAGAATGTAAAATGGAAAATATTTTAAATTTTTGTAGGTAGATTCAAAATTAAAATGAAACAAACATGAGGAATAGACTTCAAAGGGGAGTTTTGATGAGTAGAAGAGAGGAAAAACATAGAAGAAAACTGAAGGCATTTTAGAACTCTGGTATATAAAAACATCTCCTTGTGAGGGGAGGTGAAAAGATACAATGCTAAGCAACCACCAGTTACTGACAGGATCCTGAAAATTATAGAAACTATGGAAGAAACATAGGAGAATGAAGGAATTAAGAAAATTGAACAACAAAGCCAGAAGAAGTGCAAGGGAAGCCAAGAAACCCTACCTGGAGCACCAGGAAATTTCTGAAAAATAAAAGTTAGTCATATAAAAAATTAAAACCTGTAAAATATGCTACAAATAAAAAAACATTCCCCAAAGACAGGCAAGAATACAGGGCAGAGCTTTAAAATTATTCTTCTCATAAACCTCACGACAGACACTTAGAGAGAGGTTCTGGTAATTCTGACAGAGAACCTAGAAAGTAAAGAACATGAAAGAGCACTGGAGGAGGCTGATACTACAGGTGAAATGCCATAGCTGCTTAATAATTCAAAATAAAGTGGCTTAAGCTTTCTAACCAATTATACGCAGGATACTTTGAAGGAAACCTTGTAAAACCTTCGTTCTTATATAACAATTGCTAATGCCATAAACAGTAATTGACGCGAGCTATGTGTTTTATAATCTATGCCCTTAAAATATTTTATATTCTTGAACACACAGCAATAAATACAGAATTAAATACAGAGAAAAAAAAAATACAAGTCAGCCTGTAATCAGTTTATGTTCAAGAGTAAGAATAAAGTAGGCAATCCTAAACATGAGATACTCTACATTGGTACGCATGTAATTTTCTCTGTGTTTCTTTGTTGGCATTTTAGATAAATTCCAACATGACAGACTGATGCATATCATGAGGGAAGATAATGTTGATGCAGCAGATCTCCAGCAGATAAAAATCCTGTAGAGGAGGCAGAGGGCAGCAACACAAGCAAATTGTGAAACACTGTGGTATTAAGAAATTAAGAGAGGTAGATACCAG